AAACATAAAAAACATTTTCTTCCTTTCTTTAATTAAATAATTAAATAGACTTTGATTTAATTTAATTTCAAGCGAAGGGTCAAAACCCTCGGACATTTAATTTTAATTTCTTTTCGCGCATTATTTTCCTTTGAATATTATGTAACTGCTCAAGGCTTGTAATAGTAATTAGGTCTTTTTACTTTCCGCATTTTTATCAAACGGGTCTTTGTATTTTGGCGATGTATAGACCAGCGCCTTGTAATAGTGTAGGATTTATCTTTCCGCATTTAAATTTCCGCACTATTGAATTCTAAACTTTGCATGAAAGAATGTATGGCTAATTAAAAACAAGCGTAGCTCACAATGCCCTGATCAAAGATAAATATTGACATGAAAATAACACATAAATTCACACACCACTCCTAGGGTACGCCTCACCTGTTGCCTTACCTTCAAAACGTGGTCGTCGAGTATAGGACGTTTTAGTAAGTCCTTATGTCCATGATCCAGTTGCCTCGAAACGGTTGCCTCGGATTAAAAAAGGATCAAGGGCATAAGGGTAGCTTCTAAGGTGTCCTACTGTTGCTCTGGTGACCACACTGTCCCTACAAACGAATTGACCCGAACACCTCCAACGGTGGTGCTACCTACCTCTCAATGGTGGGATGGCACTACCTTAAGGACATTTACACAGGCTAATTCCTTAGGGTAGGTAGATGACTCATAGATACTTGCTCTATTCAAAAACAAATCAAAACTCTTTTCACACCGACACTTTCAAAAAGCTTTCAAAACAATTTTTCAAACACTCTTGAGGACTGATACAAGAGTTATTCAGAAATCTCTAAACGAAACTTTTTCAAACCCACTCACACTTGAAAAGCAAACAAACATTTTGAAAATACAATGAGCAAGTATCTAAGAGCCCATGGATAACCATGGATAGAAAGGGTGCTAACACCTTCCCTTTCTATAAATCTACCTCTCGAACCGAGAAACTATCTCGTAAGGAATTTTTCTGTGCTTTTGTCCTGTCCATGTTGGAGAAAATAAAAGACGGTGGCGACTCTTGCTTCCGCGACATTTCGCGAACCAGCATTAAACAGTCAGTTCTAAATCCACCGATCACACATATTTTGTACATGACTGGGTGATGGAATGGCCTGCTTTAGATATGCCTCTAATTATTGTTCAATTTACATATGAATTGATAATGGCATTATGTGTTGCACTGATTTTGCTGCCTTATTTTGATGTATAACATGGAAATGTAGATCTAGATATAAGGTTGTAGCAGGTGGCAGCATGGAGGTGATTCTGATTGTTGTGCTTCTGCAGGTCTGAACTGATGTTTGTAGATCTATACAAATGTTGAAGTCGTAACTTAGGCGCCCATTTGGGCCATGAAGAAAATTGAAGACAAAGATTAAGGATTAAGCTAGATTTATGATTAGACTTTGATGTAAAGGCCTTTTGTAATGTTCCTGAAAATCGGCGATATAAATGGTGACATTTTGAATGAAAACTCTCTTGTAATGAATTTCCCCTTTGTGATAAATGCATTAAACCTTGAATACCTCATTTGAATTTCCAATCTTCTTCGATAACTGTTTTTGAATGTTGACTTGTAATGATTTCCATGTCCATTGAAACTTGATACTTTTATGGTGCTTTAAACAAATTTGAATGCAATTTTAATGAAGCTTGAGATTGTAATGGATCTCATGGATGTAATATGGAACGATCCTTCTTTTTCAAATAAAGTTTGGAATTCATTTTCCCTTCATATGCTTCATTTTAATTTTCCAATTTTCCTTTAATTCTTGCAACACTTGAATAAGTACCAAAAAATAGGATGAAAACCAACAAACTCTTAACATGGACTCTGACATAAGGTATCATCCAATAGTTTTCAACTTATAAGTGATTCCATGAAGTCCATACAAAGTTCCATGTTCAAATATGCACTCTTTTAATGAAACTTCAAAAAAAAACAAAACTACCTTCACAAATAAATGGGAATGTAAAAGCCTCAAATGATTAGAACAACTTAATTCATAACCAAAACCCAACTCATATGATAAACCCAAGCATATGGAAGTAAACCCTGCTCCATGACCAAGGATGTCTTGATGAAGATAAGCCTTGCATGAAGTCGCATAAGAAGTCCATAGTAACCATGTGATTAAAATCCGATTCAAGACCAAAAAGACTTCAATAGATCAAAGCTTGTATGAAATACGCACCTCAAACCATGTGAATCCTAACTCTATCCCTAACCTTGATCCCATTCCAAATTTATTGATGATTCCAAATAGCCTTGTATGAGGGACATACCCTAATCATGATGCTCATATCTCAGTTGAAATAAACCCTGTAGAAGATACGAAACCTTGACACCAATGCAAACCCTAATCCCATGACCATTGATCCAAGTGCCAAGCCTTATTGTTAGTGAATGCATGAGGTGTTAATTGACCTAATGAAGGGTATATAGATGAAATGAGAATGGAATGCATAAGCCAGATGATTTAATAAAAGGGTAGAAAAAATTGGGGTATTATATCACCCTCTTGGGCAAGATGCAGATATGACACCAATAGGTGTGGATTGTGAGCAAGACAGAATTTTCAAGGATGGTTCTTCCTGCAAATGATTGACTTGTAGAACTCAAAGTTCTTATTTTTGCAGTTATTTTTCCACAAGAAAATTACAATTAGCAACAAAAATTCTCTTGGAGTTTATAGGGAAGCCTAAGTACCTGAAAGGGAGATTGCTTCTCTTATATCCAGAGGCTTCAGTCACCCTTTGGATTTCAGAATCTTTCATCTTATTGCAATAGATCTCTGTTTTATCTTTATTTGGCCACGTAAAAGAGGTTTTGGAGAAGAGCATCAAACCTTGCAGCATTATGTAGATGGACATGAAATCACCATTACATAACAATAACACATCATCCATAAAACTCAAATGGTTTAGCTTAATGTCTTCACATCTGTCATGAAAATGGAAGTTGTCTATTCTACCAATTTTCACCATGATTCTGGATTGATATTCCATACCAATGACAAATAAGAGAGTGGACATTGGGTCCCCTTGCCTCAAACCTCTCTTAGAGCTGAAAATTAATGTATGAAACCATTTATTTGAAGAGAAAACTTAGGAGTTCACACACATTGCATAATGAGATCTCTAAAGTTCTTTGGGAAATTAAGCCCTTCCAACATTTCCTCAATGAAATCCCAATCAATCGTATCATATGCTTTCCTCAAATCCAATTTAATCATGTTGCTGGGTCTCCCACTCTTTCTGTCATAGTGTCTGACCAGATCTTGGAAAACCACGATGTTATGGGCTATAAATCTGCCTTTAATAAAGCCACCATGATTTTTAGAAATGATTGTAGGAATAAATTCACTTAATCTAGAGCAGATCATCTTAGTTGCTACCTTATACAACACATTACAACAAGCAATTGGTCTATAATCTCCCACAAATTCAGGACATTTGTTCTTTGGTATGAGAGTTAGGATTATGGTATTTATCTCTCTTAAAAGCCTACCAGAATTTAAGAAAGAAATGATGGCTTTACTAACCTCATCTCCAACAATCTCCCAATTGTATTGAAATAAATAGCTATTGTACCCATCTGGGCCAGGGGCCTTTGTACCAGGAATGCTAAAGATAGCATCCTTAACATCTTGTTCAATGTAAGATCTAGTTAACCACTCTTATTGGGTCTGAGTGAGAACCTTAACTTGGTCTAAAACCCATCTTTTAACTTGTAATTTGTTATCCATCTTAGTTCCAAGTAAGTCCTTGTACAACTTCCTGAATTCACCAATTACATCATTTGGGTTGTTTAGCCACCCACCCTTGTCAATTGTGATTGAAGTAATGTTGTGCTTGTTTCTACTTTTGATGCTGGCATGAAATAGATCAGAGTTGCAATCACCATCTTTTGCTCATCTATGCTTTGCTTTTTGAGCTAGAAAAGAGTTATAGTTTCTATGAGCCAATATGATATTATCACAAGCTTCAGACTTCTGGATAAGTAAGTCCTTATTCAGGGGGTCCTTCTTCAACTTCTCTTGGCAACCCTGCAGATTTTTGATAGCTTCAATATATGCAGTGTGAAGATTATTGAAACCTTCCTTGTTAATTTTCTTTAGCAAAGCTTTAAGTCTCCTCATCTTTTAAGCTACAACATACATGGACAGACCCTGAATCGGCCTATTCCAGTATTCCTTAAGAACCTCATTAAAGTTGGGGTAATTTTGCCACATTCTAAAGTACTTGAAATGTTTCCTTCCTACAACTATCCTAGGCTCCAATGTAAGGATTGCAGGAGAGTGATCAAACTCACCTTTTAGGGGAAAATGAGCTTTTGAGTGTATGAACTTGTTTAGCCATTCTTGGTTACCTAGAACTCTGTCAATTTTGGAGCATATGTGATCATCCCTTTGCTGCTTGTTATTCTAGGTATAAAATTTTACAGTAAACTTTATGTCTTCCATGCCACACTTATTGACACAAGTGATAAAATCCTGGTTTAAAGAGTATCTCACTCTCTTCCGAATTCTTTCTTCTTTAGCCAAAATGTCATTGAAGCCCCCCATCACCACCCAAGGTCTATTTCTCACTATTTTTTTGAGGTCTCTCCATATAATCATTCTTCCTTCAACATCATTAACGACATACACAATTATGGCCAGAAACTCTTCTTTTGTATTTCTTTTTTCAACCTTTAGATGCATGAATTGGCTAGAGCATTGTAGGATGTCCACTTTTAATATTGAGAGGTTCCATCCTATAACAATTCTACCACCCTCATGCCAAGCTATATTAGTTGAGAAGTACTAACCATTAAACATATTGTTATACAATTTTTCAAGATTTTGTACTTTTACTCTAGTTTCAATGAGACCAATAAGCCCAACCATGTTCTTGTAAATCATTTTCTTACTAGATTTTGCTTATTATGGTTGTTGACCCCCCTAATATTTCATGTCAAGACTCTATCCATTAGAGTGAGGGGGTGCTCCCTCCCCCATTGTGTTATCCATATTTTCAACATCTTTTGAACATTCTCCTTCTTCTCTATTATTCAAAACATGAAAAGGGTTATTAGTAGTTGTACCTTGAACTCTCTCCCTTATTTTAGGTCTAGATCCTCTAGTAACAACTTGAAAGCCCTCTTTGTTTTCCTCTTCTTCCTTACTGACTTGTTTTGTTTCTTTCTTGGTCTCCCATTTTTTCTGCATAGTGATTTTTTTTGCAATAATCTGTGGTTTTGTGCCATAACCTCTTGCGTTCGCTACAAAAATATGGCTTCCATTCATATCCAATGTGAATTTCCATATTCTCTCCCAATTCATCTTTAAAGAATAAAAGGGCTGGTAGTTCCTCTTCAATGGACACTTCTACAAGGACTCTTGGGAAGGCCAGCTTCTCTCTGAGTCTTGTTGCTTTGTCCATTATGATAGGTTTCTCAATTTGAACACTTAGTTTAAAAATGGCGTTCTTCCCCCATTATTTTATGTCAATCTCTTCAAGCCTAATCCATATGGGAATGGCATGAATGTCTTCTTTTTTGAAATTGGTGGTGTGGTTCCACGATTTCATCACCATAGGTTTCTTATCAAAGAAAATGTATCCTTCCTGCAGAATTGCATCCCTTTCTTGTGCTAAATTGAATCTCACAATGAACATTCCATAGGCTATCATGCCAACTTTATCCACTCCTTTGTTTTTCCAGATTCTTCTTACAAAATCTTCTAGCACAGCTAGGGGTGGGTTAGCTTTAAGTATGTAGCAGACAATTGTTGAGTTCGAGTAAGCAATTTCTTCTTCTATATCCTCTAAGATTATTTTTACTTTTTTAGAGTTTGATTTTTCTTCAGCATCAATGAATTTCTCATCAAGATTCTGAACAACCATGTTAAGAGTTGGCAGAATAACATATTTACCTTTTTCATACCTCTTGTGCATTCAACATTTGCCTAGAAGAAGCTCTCAACATTCGTGCCTAAGATGCTATCCTCTTTCTCCCCGTGCTCTTTTCTTGTTATCGGTTTTGTTTTCTTATTGTCACCCAGTGAAATTAATTGGTCCTCTTTTCTTCTTCGACTTTGCCTTGTTTTGTGCTTTCGTTGTAGTCTTCGTTATTGCACCAATCAGAAAATCTCCCACTGAGAACTACAGATCTACGAATTCCTCCGATCGGGTCCCTAATTCGAAAATTAGGACTTTAAACCTTCACGGTTGAATTCGCAGATCTCAAAACCCTAAGAAAAACCAGACAAATCTTACGCCAGAGTTAGTTACCGTCGTGCCGGAGTAGATCCTCTAAGCCGAAAACCTAGTCGGAAATCGCCTATCTCATATCAACTTCAATATTGGTGATAAGTGAATTGACTTGCAATATCCCAGCGGCCTAACAATTTTATTTTTATTATTTATATTTCTATTATATTTTGAAAACAAAAACGTCAGTACCACACCAGTACTCGTGCCAACGCACGGGTAACAACTCAGTAATATGTGAATGCACGAGTAATCATACCAAAATTCATGCGAACACACATATTTTTATATTTTTTTGTACAATTTAATAAAATATAAGTAAAACTTATGTCGGTGGTACTACTGACTTTTCTTTTTATTATATTTTAAACTATAATCTAAAATTTAATAAATACAACATTAAACTTAATTTTTTTAGATTATTCTAATTTTGGATATTTATTTATTCTCATTTATTAAATTTTATAAACTCTTTTATTATTACAAGTCTATCAACTCTAAAAAGAATTTTTAAAAATTTTGTTTTTTCACAATTATTATTTACAAAGTATGTGTTTAAAAGTTTTTCTTATATTTTGTTGCATTTAATAGTGTATAAAATTATCTTGCAGACTATTTTTAATTTTATATTTTTTAAAATGATATTTTAATTTTTTTAAATTTTTATGATAAATTATATCTATACTCGTGCGGACGTACCAATATCACGCTAATTGGTATTGAAATTAAAATATCTATAGTTGTGCGGACGTACCAATATCACACTAATTGGTATTGAAATTAAAATTTCCTTGATTCTGAATAACTCCTATATCACAAATTTTTGGCATCATTGTGACAGGTGCTAAACATTCATTCTTGCTAATGATGATTATTGAAAGCAAAACTAGAACTAGCACACAAGGTGAATAGTATCTACTAACCAAGTTTTTTTTGATCTATAAGAGCCAACATGACCAGTCTAAGTTAGTCACATTTTTTAAGATAACTTAAGATATGATCTGTCTTTCCTCTTTCTTTTCTAAATTTTTTACATTATAATATTTTATTTAATTTACCAAAAAGCTAAGAATAAAAAAAAATACCCTTCTTAACTTTTCTTTCATCTCATATGCATTTCATTACATAAGGAGAAGAATTAGCTAAACATCTTTCACAAACAAAGAAAAATGGGCCGCTCCATTTCATCTTTTCATCACCTTCTTTTGTCATCTCTTGTTGTTTTCACTTTGTTGTTGAATCATGTTCATGCAAACAAAAAGGTAACCCAATTTTGCTTCTTAATCACACATATACATCGTAATTAAGATGATAATTTCATTAATTTGATAAGCTATTGGTGTTTGACTATTGTACTAATTATTTACAGTGTTACATTGTATACTTGGGGGCACATTCACATGGTTCAACTCCTTCCACTGCTGACCTTGAAATTGTTACAACTTCTCATTATGATTTACTAGCTTCAATCTTGGGAAGGTATATAAAATAAGAAAATTAACCGTTACAATAATATTTTCTTTTAAAGAAACTGATTGATGAACTCATATATATATTGGTCATTAATTCACAGTGAGGAGAATGCAAAAGAAGCTATTATTTATTCATATAATAAGCAGATAAATGGGTTTGCAGCTATACTTGAAGAGGAAGAAGCTGCACAAATTGCAAGTATGTTTTTGTTTTATATTTTCAACTAATGATAATGATAAATTTGTTTTCAACACTCATATATTTATATATTTAAATGCAGAAAATGAAAACGTGGTATCAGTGTTCTTGAGTAAAGAGCATAAACTGCACACTACACGGTCATGGGAATTTCTTGGATTGCGAGGAAATGATATGAACTCAGCTTGGCAAAAAGGAAGGTTTGGTGAAAATGCCATCATAGCTAACATTGATTCAGGTGCTAAACTAAACTATAATTTTACTATATTCTATATTTTTCCATAATCCAATTAATATCATTTACTTAGTTATAAGTACAATTTTCAGAACAACATTCTCTGTTAATTAATGATCTCTGCCAAAATCTCGTGCTGTATGGATTTTTAATAGTTATTATCAGACATATAAATAAATAAAAAATGTGTTTTTCTGTTAAGTAGTTTAGTGATCAGAATTTTACCTGTTAAAGACGATCAAATAATAGCTTCAAATCCACAATTGTCCTTTTCATCACGTGAAACATAATTATTTGTTTAGATGGTACAGCTGTTAAAGTTTTGTCTTAGTTGTTGTCAAATTTCAATTATAAGTGACCTTGTACTTATTTTTCTAATTTGTGTATGACTTCTCTTGCCCAATATTTTAAAAACCGGTAAGTATTGCAACACTGATTGCTTGCGATCGTCGTAATTTGAATTAACCGTAATATTTTTATAGTAAAAACGGTGAATACATATACTATTTGTTTTTAATGTATAAAGCTTAAGTCTTTTTTAATAGAGAGGTTTGGTGCTGGTCAATTTTTGGTGGCTGTTTGTGTGGGGTTTTCTTGCATCTTCAGTTTTTTCTTATATTCAAACTTCTCATGATTTAACGCATAACAATATGATATTACGGTCTTTTGAGTATTATTTTAAAGTCTTCACCAATAGTATAATCTTAGTGACTAATTAATAGACCAACAAAATTGACATAATGTTTGTTTTGTTATAGAACATTTGTGCTTTATTTATTCTTCTTCTTAAGATTTAATTAACCTACTTGAAGACAAAAACTACATGCTTTCCTTGAGTTGGCAAGATGCTTTCTTCAATTCTTAATTCATATCAAAATATAGTATTTTATTTTACCGCATTATCTTGGGCTCTGTTCCTCATCAACTAGTACCTCACAAAAGTCACAAGAATTTCAATTATTTTTATGACAAAGTAAAAATAACTTTGACAGAATCAATATTATAATCACCATATGTAAAATCTGTTTCTTTTTTTATTACTAAGAGGTAACTCAGTGCACGAGACTCTCATTTTATAGGCTCGGGAAGTCAGATGTACACAGTCTTACCTAGGGTTGCAATAGAACAACCTTACCGTTGAACCAAGGCTACCCCTTATTTTTTTTATTACTAAATGAATAAAACCAAAATAACTAAATTATTCAAAATATTTGACTGTTTGCAATAGGTGTTTGGCCTGAATCAATGAGTTTTAGTGATAGAGGAATAGGCCCAATTCCAGCAAAATGGCGTGGTGGTAACATATGTCAAATTAACAAACTCAATGGTTCTACCAAAGTTCCATGTAACAGGTTCTCTTTTTACATGTTTGTCTGATTAATTATTTTTTATGCTATACAATTATAGTAATAATTTTTTTTGTATATTACACAATCAAAGGAAGCTAATTGGAGCAAGATATTTCAACAACGCATACGAATCAGTCAGGGGAAAACTCCCTCGTTCGCAACAAACAGCGCGTGACTTTGTAGGCCACGGTACACACACATTATCAACAGCAGGTGGAAACTTTGTACCTGGTGCAAGTATATTTAATATTGGCAACGGAACCATAAAAGGTGGTTCGCCAAAATCAAGAGTTGCAACCTACAAAGTGTGTTGGTCTTTAACAGATGCTACTAGTTGTTTTGGTGCCGATGTATTAGCTGCTATTGATCAAGCAATTAATGATGGTGTTGATTTGATTTCGGTTTCTGCTGGTGAGAGTACTAGTACAAATTCTGAAGAAATTTTCACTGATGTGGTTTCAATAGGTGCATTTCATGCACTTGCTAGAAATATATTATTAGTTGCTTCTGGCGGGAATGACGGACCTACGCCTGGAAGTGTTGTTAATGTTGCTCCTTGGGTGTTCACTGTTGCTGCTAGTACATTAGATAGAGATTTCAGCAGTTCTATTACCATTGGTAACAAAACAATCACGGTAATATATATCAATTCTGTATAATCTATAATACAAGTTTATATTTGGACCGATTCAATTAAAAATAATTATATCATTGAAATTCATTATACTGTGTTTTTTGTTATACTACTAGGGAGCCAGTCTTTTTGTAGACTTGCCACCTAACAAGTCTTTCACCGTAGTAACTTCTACTGATGCGAAATTGCCAAATGCGACGGATCGAGATGCGTAAGTATAAAACTACAATACCAAAAATGTTGATGATTGTGAAAATAATATGAAATAGATCAAGTTTATGAAACATATGTTAAACGATTGTTTCTTACATGTTTTTGGTATGCACATTTTTGCAGGCAATTTTGTAAAGCAGGAACACTTGATCCTTCAAAAGTGAAGGGTAAAATAGTGGCATGTGTTAGAGAAGGGAAAATAAATTCAGTTGCTGAGGGTCAAGAAGCTTTATCTGCGGGCGCAGCTGGAGTCATTTTGAGAAATCAACCGCTAGTTAATGGAAGAACACTTCTTTCTGAGCCTCATGTTTTGTCTACTGTCAGCTATTATTCCAAACATCAAATAACAAGACAACATAGTGAAGACCTAATTCCGTCGTAATTACTAATCCTATCAATATTTTGTCAAATTATATATACCGTATATTAAAATAAGGTTTTAAAAATGTAACATCATAAAATTACATGTTACAAATGAGAACTTGGACCGCCCGGTCTTGTTTGAGTGGCCACAGATGTGCTGACTGTGTGAATGCGTCAAACTTTTGCAGGGATATAAAATCAGGTACTAAAATAAGATTGTCAAAAGCAAAAACAAAATATGGAACAAAGCCAGCTCCAGTTATGGCTTCTTACTCATCTAGAGGACCAAATAAAGTTCAACCATCAATACTCAAGGTGTCATGCACTTCAATTTGTTATCTACTAGTAACTATTGAATACTCCTTGTTGATTTTTCAATGATAATTTTGCCTTTGTTTTATTGTTACAGCCTGATGTAACTGCTCCGGGTGTGAACATACTTGCTGCATATTCATTATTTGCAAGTGCATCTAATTTAATAACAGACACTCGTCGAGGTTTTCCATTCAATGTGATGCAAGGAACATCTATGTCTTGTCCTCATGTTGCTGGCACTGCTGGATTAATCAAAACACTTCATCCTAATTGGTCTCCAGCAGCTATTAAATCAGCTATCATGACCACCGGTATTTTCATCTCCTATATGTCTAATTCTTAAGATGATTACTTCTTTCTTACACAAATTCGCGTGCATGCAGCAAGCACAAGAGATAACACCAACAAGCCAATCCGTGACGCATTTGATAAAACATTGGCAAATCCATTTGCTTATGGTTCAGGACACATTCAACCCAACAGTGCAATAGATCCAGGACTTGTTTATGACCTAAGCATTATTGATTACTTAAACTTCTTATGTGCTTCTGGATACAACCAACAACTCATTTCATCACTTAATTTCAACATGACATTTACTTGTTCAGGATCACATAGCATAACAGACTTGAATTACCCTTCAATCACATTACCAAATCTTGGATTAAATGTTGTTAACATCACACGGACAGTCACCAATGTTGGACCTCCAAGTATATATTTTGCAAAAGCTCAGTTGTCCGGATATAAAGTTTTTGTTGAACCGAATTTCTTGAAATTCAAGAGAATCGGTGAAAAGAAGACATTTAGAATTTCTGTGCAAGCAACAAAGGTGACTCCACGGAGAAAATATCAATTTGGGGAATTGAAATGGACAAATGGAAGACACATTGTAAGGAGTCCTATTACTGTTCGACGTAAATGAAAGATCATTAATTTCAAAGAATGTAATATGGTATACTACAATATGCTTTTGTTATTTCATCATTTTGTTGATGTTTGGGTATGGTAGTGTAATATGTTTTGTAATAAGTATCAGTATATGTATTGTAATAATTGATGCATGGGAGTGCAACATCTATGGTTCGACTGTCTTTCACAACCATAAACTTTATATGCTTCATTTGAAGGCTTATGCATTGTGCACCAAACTATCAATATTATGTAAGTCACTAGAAAATGGGGTTTAACATTCCTTGAAAAGGATTTTCTGGATAAGAATTTATGTCTGTCATAGGAGTATTGGAGGCCAAAGATTTATTTTTATAATTACCATTAACCCTACGCGGGTTATTAAAGATAGCCAAACAGTTTTCTTTGTTGGTGAATTGAACATAAGTAGTTATTCTCATAGAAGACCGTAGTTTACTTCCCTATTAAGTGAGCTTAATTGAACATTATGGAAGTGAATTCTCATTAGAATGCATGAAGGATACAAGAGGTGTTATATACAAAGGGTGACCTGCACCATAAGCTACCTACACCCTACTACACCATAGTGTTTTCTTAGTAACTAACACTAACAACTCTAACTAACTTTTTTGTAACTGTAAAGAGGAAGAGTTAGTTAGGTATATCACTCGTCTTCATGCATTGTATTTCTATTATGCTCATACTTCAATACACCCCCTACCTTCGCGCAAGTTGAAGGTTGGTAGATATCTATCATCTTCAACTTGACTAAGAGCTCGTGAAAAAGTTGAGGGTGTAAAGCTTTTTAGGCTATGCTTGAGAGTTTGGAAGGGAGGGTTTCAAAAAAAAATTATTTTTTTAAATATAGAGAAAAATTTTAAATTTTTTTTAAAAAAAGTTTGTTTAGAATGATAAAATAATGTTTATTATTAATGTGTTTTTACTTTTTGGAAAACTATAACAACAAAAATTATATTTGAGCAATTTGTCTAAACCCTCCGATGCCCTCCTCCAATATAAATTTTGACTTCCCCAAATAAGGGGATTTTTGGTGTTGAAGAAAAACAAACCCTCAAAACAATCCTAACCAAAAACCTTTCTATTTTTTACCCAATCCTTCCTATTTTTCAAAGCTCTCCTCTCCCTTCCTATCCAAACTCTTAAACATAGCCTTAGTGAACAAATCAACAGATTGGTCATTTGATTTGATTGGGCGTAGTTTCACAACGCATTGACTTTGCTTGTCTCTCAAAATGTGACAATCTATCTCCAAATATTTTGTCATTTCGTGAAATGCGAGTTTTGAAGCAATGTGGAGGACACTTTGATTATCAAGTAGATCACATGAGTTCTGCTACATTTCATGTGTAAATCATTCATGGGATATAAGAGTCATTGGAGTTCACAAGTGGCTACTATAAAGGCTCTATATTCGGCTTCTGGTGAAGATCTCGAGACTGTTAATTACTTCTTTGTTCTCCGTGAAATTAGTGATCTACCAAGGAAGAGGCATTGGCCTGAAACTGATTTTCTAGTGTCTATGCATCCTTCCCTGCAGTCACCATCTAAGTAACCATTCAATTAAAGTGATGAATCTCTCGATAATAGAATGCCTCGAGTAGTGCAAGTTTTGAGATATTTGAGAACTCTGCAAGAAACATTAAAGTGAGTGATTGTACGAGCTGACAAAAATTGACTCAGTTGTTGAGTGCAGAAAGTGATGTTGGGTCTTGTTACATTTAAGTACAATAGTTTGCCTATAAGTCTTCTATAAGAAGGAATGCCATCTTAAGTTCTACTAGAGTCCTGATGCAGTTGATGGCAGGATCAGAAGGAGTGGTGACTGGTTTGGATTCAATGAATCATGATTGAGATATATTCCTTCATTTGATTATTCCACTTCAATGCGTAGAAAATACTTCAAGCTTCCTAAATCTTTAATCTTGAATGTGTTATCCAATGCTAACTTGATTGAATTAAACTCATTCAAATCGCTACCGGCTAGAATTTCATCATCAACATATACTAATAATATAGTAATGGATGATGTTGTATTTTTCACAAATAAGGAATGATCTGAAGTAGCTTGCTTATAGTGATGTTCAATGAAGAATGATGTGAGTTTTTCATACCATCTTCTGCTAGCATGTTTAAGTCCATAAAGGGATTTAACAAGCTTACACACTTGGTTAGACTTGATAGTAGACACGCCTGGTGGAATAAGCATTATACATCCTCTTGAATGTGACCACATAAGAAGACATTATTTACATCTAGTTAAAGTAAATGACAATGCATGCATGAAGCCAAAGCTATAATGGATCTGACAATCGTGAGTTTAGCAACTAGAGAATATGTATTAAAATAAGCAAGACTCTTTATTTGATTATATCCCTTGGCCAATAGTCGTGCTTTAAATTTGTCAATGGAACCATTAGCTAAGTATTTGATTTTGTAAATCCACCCGTAACATATTGGTTTAATACTTTGCGGTAGGTCTACAATCTTCCACGTGCCATTCTTCTCAAGAGCTAGAAGTTCAAGATGCATAGCATGCTTCCAGCACTCATGCTTAGATGCTTCAACATATGTTTCAGGTTCAGAATGAGAAACTAATGACAATGCATAGTGGGAATGAGATGGAGGGAGATTGTAATGCGAGATGAAATGTGACAAAAGGATAAAAAGTACATTTGGAAGATTAAGTTGATGTAGCAAGAGAGTTGCAAATATAATCTTGAAAATAAGAGAGATGGTGACTCACTCTTGAAGAAACTCTAGTTGGTGGAGGTTGGTCAGTAGTGGAATGTGTATATGTTGGAGAGTTATTTGTGGGGAAGTTGTGTAAAGTGGAGTTAGGTTAGTCAAATGTCGCGAGATCATTGTTAAGATGGTCTAATGTATTAGGATATATATTAAGATCAATGTTAGGTTGGTCTGGTGTATTAGAATCAATGTTAGGTTGGATATATGAGTCAATATCAATGATGGAGGGAAAGTATGACCATGAAGTGGATGAGGATGAGTTTGTTGATTTATAGTGTGAGATGTGTTCATGGAATATGACATTTATAGAAACAAATATTTCATTGATATGAAAATCAAGCAAGAGATAACCTATCCTACAAGATTTGTATCCTAGAAAGATAGGTTTCCTTGCCTTATGGTCTAACTTGGTTCCGTGAACTTGGAGATTTGAAGCATAACACAAGGAGCCAAATACTTTGAAAGAGGTAGGGTCAGGGATTTTATTGTGGAGAACTTGATAAGGTGATTGTTGGTTAAGAACTCTATTTATAATGAAAGCTACAAATTGCAGGGTATATGACCAACGTTGTAATATCCCGATTTAATTGGAATTATTTTATTGGAAAAAAATAGATGATGAGACGTGCTTATATGTGTTGATGATCTTATGATGCGTTTTGATGATTATGTTGGAAAGTTAGAAGTAGCGATAATTGAAGAAGTTAGGGTGTATGGCTAAGAGTGTAGAGACATTGGGGTGAATGAAGAATATTAGCAACATTATTATTATTATTATTAGTATTATTATTATTATTATAAGAGATAAATGGTATTTTATAGTATTAATAATTAATAATTAAAATAAACCTAGTAATAAGAGGAGGGGCGAAGTTGGTATATAGATTTAGGGGTCTAAAGTATGTGGTTAGAAAACACGAGGAATAGAACGTAGAAGTGAGAAGAGAAGAACGAAGAGAAGTAAAGAACATACACGTTAGGGCGAGGAATCTCCGATAGAGGACTTAGAATCATCAAACCTAAAGTAAGAGTGGAGTTCTGACTCTCTAATAGGCGGTTTACTTGTGGGTAGATGATGATATTGAATGTTAGTTTTTTGGGGTAAATTATTGTGAAATTGATTATTGTAATTGCTTGTAAATGATGAAATTGATGTGTTGATTGTGTTGGGTTTGTGGTATATGATGTGTGTTGATAATTTAAAATAATTGATGTGTTTGATCTTTCATAAAAGGTGATTTTTGGATGAAGAGGATGAGATTTCGTAGTAGAAAATTCAGGTTTTTGGGTATGTTCGCGATGGGTAATCGGTTACCATATATGGGTAATCAGTTACCTCTGCTTGTGGTTTTAAACATTTGGCTACAAACTTGCAGTAACCGGTCACCACAACTGGGTAATCAGTTATAGATAAGAATTTATGGAAAAAGCAGGTTTACTGTCTTGCAGTAACCGGTTACCATAACTACGTAACTGGTTACCGCTGAAGCTGACAAAATTTTGGAAAACTTGGATAAATCATAACTTATGCATCGGGTGTCTGTTTGATGCACCGTTTGAATCGTTGAAAAGCTAAAAATATTTTCTATAATATGAAATTAATTTTTATAATAGTGGTCTAATATTTTATCGAAATAATTGTGATGAAAGTGTATGTTGGATGAGTTATGACACCAAAATGTCGTGATAAGCTGTGTCTTGTCGTACCCATGATGTGCGAAGAATTTACAGGTGATGTTGCAGTAATAAGAAGGTGATGTTGGCCTGAAAATTCGCTTGATGTTGATGGTATGCTTGGAATTACATAATTTTGGTTGTAGCATATCACATTTCATGCATCGTTGAGGGCTTATGCCCTGGCCTGTATTGGCAATCATTAAGGGCTTATGCCCTGGCCTATATGGAAAATGTTGAGGGCTTATGCCCTGGCCTTTATGGAAAATATTGAGGGCTTATGCTCTGGCCTGTATTGGAAATTGTTGAGGGCTTACGCCCTGTCCTATATGGCAACTTGCTGAGGGCTTATGCCCTGATGGTACCACATGCATCTTGCACCAGAGTCAGTTGTACTGCATTTGTTGAATTGTAGAATTATGGACTTGTTGAAGTGGTGTGACTAATAAATGTCGAACTTGAAATCTTACATGATATACTTGTTTTTTACTCATAATTATATTACTTACTATATTGTCATGATATCTCACCCTTACTGTTTGAATGTTGCCTCTACATGGATAACGTGCAGAT